TCCCAGCTACTCAGGAGGCTGAGGCAGGAGAATCGCTTGAACCCGGGAGGCGGAGGTTGCAGTGAGCTGAGATTGCACTACTGCACTCCAACCCGGGCGACAGAGCAAGAGCAAGACTCCGTATCGAAAAAACAAAACAAAAATTACTGTGAAAAAACATATATACATGTGTCAAGAGTAGTTATGTAAGGGTAATTCTTTTTGTTCTCTATTTTTGAAATGTTTCGTAATGTGCTTTTACTTCTTTATAATAAATAGAATACCAAAAAAATAAGCCAACCCAATACTTTCTGTAAATGGAAAGGATAAAAGATTTGCACTTCACTTTTCCACAATTCTATCCCATTGATTCTACTGTGTGCTCAATTTCCCATGGCAGTTATGATACATGGATCCCAGCGAGTGAAATTGAAGCATCTGTGGAAGATGCTCCAACTCCTGAGAAACCTAGGAAGGTGAGCTTTTCTTGTACCCCCTCTTCCCCAAAAAGAATGCCAGGAGCAGTCTACTCTTGGAAAGTGAAACAGAGGCTCGTGTGCCCTTGGGCTTTTTCTGTTAAGGGTCCCCAGACAGAGCTGTGGCTTCCAGGCTTCTCTGCAGCATGATCTGCCTTTGTACTTTAGATTCATGCAAAGTGGATCCTGGACACCGACACCTTCAATGAATGGATGAATGAGGAAGACTACGAAGTAAATGATGACAAAAACCCTGTCTCCCGCCGAAAGAAGATTTCAGCCAAGACATTGACAGATGAGGTGACAAATCCTGTTCTTTTTTCCTGGCGCCCTTAGCATAAGTCTCAGAACAAATCTTCATTGGGGATTTTAGGCTGACATTTGTCCTGATTCTCCATCTTATAGGTGAACAGCCCAGATTCAGATCGACGGGACAAGAAGGGGGGAAACTATAAGAAGAGGAAGCGCTCCCCCTCTCCTTCGCCAACCCCAGAAGCGAAGAAGAAAAATGCTAAGAAAGGGTGTGCCAGCCCCTAGCCTGCCCCCGAGTTCACCATTCTCCCCACATCATGTTGAAGGAAGGAAAGACAAATCCCTTCCTATAACCACCTGGCCCTGACCTGGGTGTGCCGTAATACTGCAGGTGTCCTGAGAGGGAAGATGAGGAGATCTTTAGCTACTCAGTTGTTAGTTCTGGTCCTGGCCCCACTAGAAATTTAAAGAGAGCTTTATCAAATGAAAAGCCTTTGCCACTCCCGATTAGTCTGTAATTACTGGTTTCTGTTTGTACTCAGCTCTACCCTTGGAATTCTCTGTCACTTCCCTTCCCTTGAACTTCAACTTCCAGGGACTCCTTGTCCAAGGATGACTGAGTTCTCTTCCACTCTTTCTTTCCCAGTCCCTCAACACCTTATACTAAGTCAAAGCGTGGCCACAGAGAAGAGGAGCAAGAAGACCTCACAAAGGACATGGATGAGCCCTCACCAGTCCCCAATGTAGAAGAGGTGACACTTCCCAAAACAGGTACAGGCCAGGCTGAGCTCCTGGAATCCACCCCTACTCCCCATCCTGATTCTCCTTTGCCGAACCCCGAGTGAGCTGATTTCTCAGGTCCAGCTCCCAGTCTACAGGATCCACAATTTAGTTTTTACATAATCATAATCATACTAGATGATATTTTACACGCTACCTTTTTTTTTTTTTTTTTTTGAGACGGAGTCTCGCTGTGTCACAAAGTCTGGAGTGCAGTGGCGTGATCTTGGCTCACTGCAAGCTCCGCCTCCCGGGTTCACGCCATTCTCCTGCCTCAGCCTCCTAAGCAGCTGGGACTACACGTACCCACCACCTCGCCTGGCTAATTTTTTGTATTTTTAGTAGAGACGGGGTTTCACCATGTTAGCCAGGATGGTCTTGATCTCCTGACCTCATGATCCGCCCACCTCGGCCTCCCAAAGTGTTGGGATTACAGGCGTGAGCCACTGCACCCGGCCTGTACATGTACTATTAAGTCACTACTGTGGGAACATTATAAAACACAAACATATCTAAAAAACTGAAAAATGTAAAAAATGATAAACATGAAGTATCCAGGCACGGTGGCTCACCCCTGTAATCCCAGCACTTTGGGAGGCCGAGGCAGGCAGATCATGAGGTCAGGAGATCGAGACCATCCTGGCTAACATGGTGAAACCCCGTCTTTACTAAAAATACGAAAATTAGCCAGGCGTGATAGCACACGCCTGTAATCCCAGCTACTTGGGAGGCTGAGGCAGGAGAATCACTTGAACCCGGGAGGCGGAGCTTGCAGTGAGCCAAGATCGCACCACTGCACTCCAGCCTGGGCGACAGAGCAAGACTCGTCTCCAAAAAAACAAAACAAAAAACAAAAACATGAAGAGAAATTCTGTATTCTCTCCCTGAGTTGCAGTGGATCATCTTTTGCATCCTATGTTAGAACCCCACTTTGGAGACCATTGCTCCACCAATGCTGGTTTACAGTCTGTATTCTATAGACTCACCCCAGGTATTCCAGACGTGTGTTTCAGGGGTAGGATTAGGGGTGCCACCAAGAAGAGTTCTGGCTTCCACCTCCTCATCAATCAGCTCTCCTCTCTATGTTTGCTCCTGAGCATATGCATATGAATTCAGTTGAGGAAAGTATGCTTTCAAAAATGTTTAACACCTAACCATTCCTCCACAGAATGATTTGGTCAGATTCAGTATCAGACCATTAAAAGCTTACAGATACATAGATGGAGATAAAGACCTATCGAAGACAAGAATGATTAACGAATGTACATAGAGAAATAAGCTAATTTTTGGTTGGAGAAGTGGGGAAAGTAGCAAGCAAGTTTCAGGCCCTAGAATAATTGTGACTGGAGAGAATTACTATATTTTGCAATCAGATGAAGAAAATTTTTGGAGAAAGTAGGATCTCTGTAACTATTAGATTGAAGGCTTGAATTAGGCAAAATCTGTCTGATAAAATGACTCTCTGTTTTGGCAGTCAACACAAAGAAAGACTCAGAGTCGGCCCCAGTCAAAGGCGGCACCATGACTGACCTAGGTAAGACAGGAGCCTCTTGGGCAAGGCAGTCAGAGCCAAGGGGAGGGGAGGGCTCAGCTGCTCCCTTTTCGCTAACCTGATGGGCTTTTTGTAGGGCTTTCTTGCCCCTCAGGAGGCTTCAGCTTTACATCTTGGTCTTTGTCTTTCAGATGAACAGGAAGATGAAAGCATGGAGACGACGGGCAAGGTGGAGCCAGTTTAGAGAGGCCCTATCTCTCTATGTGATTCTGATTTGTGATTATAGAGTTCATTCTGCCCAAACTTTTCAATGTCCAGACTTTACCCACCGTAGACTAATTCTAGCTGTTGTTCAAAACTCTGACCCTTTCAGAGTCCTGGGGCCCATGACTGCTCAGTCCCATCACCTATCTGTAGTGTCCACATTCCTGGGGTGTGGGAGAAGCAGAGGGTTGCTAGGGAGGAAACAGGAATGCTGAGTGTCCAGCAGCCTCCATACTTATAGGATGAGGATGAGAACAGTACGGGGAACAAGGGAGAGCAGACCAAGAATCCAGACCTGCATGAGGACAACGTGACTGAACAGACCCACCACATCATCATTCCCAGCTATGCTGCCTGGTTTGACTACAATAGGTATGGTTGTCCCCAACTTCGCACTGAGTCCTTATTTCCCTGCCTCCAGAGGTCAACAGGCTATTCTTCTCCCTGCCTCCTCCAAATAAGTTATTTTTTCCTCAGCCAGATAGACCAGAGTACACTTTAGTTTTAGGGGAGCTCCTGGTGTCCTTTTGAGTCTTACAGCCCTGTGGGATGTTCTCCCTAAGCTTCTAACTGCAGCAATTTCGAGCTTTTTTCCTTCTTTGCCTTCTAGACTTTTCCTCCCTTGGGGCCCCCATCCCTTCAACAGTGCCTTCTTCTGAAACCACTCTGGCTTCTCTTACAGCGTTCATGCCATTGAGCGGAGGGCTCTCCCCGAGTTCTTCAACGGCAAGAACAAGTCCAAGACTCCAGAGATGTAAGGAAATCTCAGCTCATGATTCTCTTTCTCCCTCCTGTCCCCCCATTCACCCTTCCTGATCCAGTAACATTCAGTTTAGCAAACATTTCTTGAGCTCCTTCCATGAGCCAGGCACTGTGCTAGGCTTACAAAGACACAATATCTGCCTTTAGGCAGCCCTGGCCTAGCATGTAGACACATGTTCTTTAGGATTTGCCCAAGGGTGCTATTAAGCATGTTCTGTATATAACAAGTACTTACTCCAATGCCTCAAATTCTTTTTAACAGGGTATAGAGCCTTTAAATCCATATTACTGATATTGTCTAAACTGCAGATATTCCTAGCACAAGTAATAGCTTTGATTAAAGTGTAAATTACTATTACCAGGCTGGTTCCTGAGAGTAGGTTTTCATAGAAAAACAAGAGAAGGAACTAATAGAAGACCAGTTTATATAAATTAAGGGATGGAGAGGGCTCTCTGGGAAAGAAGTGTAGGAGCCACAGTGGCTCACGACTGTAAATCATCCCAGCTACTTGGGACACTGAGACAGAAGGATTCCTTGAGGCCAGGAGTTCAAGAATAGTGTGAGCAACATTGCAGGACTCCCATCTCTAAAGAAGTGAAAAAAAAAATTAGCTGGGCATGGTGGGGCATACCTGTGGTCCCAGCTACTTGGGAAGCTGAAATGGGAGGGTTGCTTGAGCCTAGGAGTTTGAGGCTACACTGAGCCATGATCATGCCACTGCACTCCAGCCTGACTGACACAGCAAGACCCCATATCTAAAAAAATTAATGAACAAGGCTGGGCACTGTGGCTCATGCCTATAATCCTAACACTTTGGGAGGCCGAGGCGGGTGGATCACAAGGTCAGGAGATCAAGACCATCCTGGCTAACGTGGTGAAACCCCGTCTCTATTAAAAATACCAAAAAAGACCAGGCGTGGTGGCTCATGCCTGCAATCCCAGCACTTTGGGAGGCGCAGGTGGGCAGATCACCTGAGGTGGGGAGTTCGAGACCAGCCTGACCAACATGGAGAAACCCCATCTCTACTAAAAATACAAAACTAGCCAGGCATG